CTTTCTCTCTCTGTGTGAGTCTGTCTGTCTGTCTGTCTGTCTGTCTGTCTGTCTGTCTGTCTGTCTGTGTGTGTCAGTGGTGGGTTTCAAAAAAATTTTGGGACCTCTTCTGTAGGTGTGGCCTGCTTTCCGAGTCCACTGGTGGAACCTCTTCTAACCGGTTCGGTGGATTTGACGAACCGGTTCTACCAAACTGGTGCGAACTGGTAGGAACCCACCTCTGAGGTATACCGATATGGAAATGTTGTAGAGAAGGAAAGTGTTAAAGTTGTTTCTTTCTTTTTTGTTTTTTAAAAAAAAGTGTAATAAAAGTTATTTTAAAACAAATAAAGAAAGAAGGAGCAGCTGTTACTTCTGGTGGGCGTGTCTCGGTTCTCCCTTCCCCGCAGGTACCGCAATGACTTTCCCACGGAGCCGCCAGTCCCGAAGGCCATCCGAGAATACCGCCAGAACGTGGAGAGGCTCTTCCAAGCGTTGGACGAAGTCCTCCCTGCCAGCACGCTGGTCATTTGGAATACGGCCATGGCCATCACGAAGGACGCCCGTTGCTACATCATCGAGGTGAAGGGACCTCTGGCTCCCTTGGGGTCGACTGGTCAGATCTCCCGGAGGGCCCCCCACCCCCCACCCCCGGGCTCTCTTCAGAATCCAAGGGGCGTCTTCTGCAGCGATTATGGCGCTCCAGATACCATGGGTCTTCAGGGAAGGAGAGAAGCAACCTTGGGTGTCCTGCTTGGACCGGGGCGGTGGGGATTGGGGGGGTTGGACTAGATGACCTACAAGGTCCCTTCCAACTCTGTTATTTTGTAATCCAGGAGATTCCCTTCCTTCCTTTCTCTTTCATTTTTCCTTCCTCCAATCTTTCCTTCCTTCCTTCCTCTTTCATTTTTCCTTCCTCCAAACTCTTTCTCCTCCCGCCAATCTTTCCTTCCTTCCTTCCTTCCTTCCTCTTCCATTTTTCCTTCCTCCAAACTTTCTCCTCTCACCAATCCTTCCTTCCTTCCTTCCTCTTTCATTTTTCCTTCCTCCAAACTTTCTCCTCCCGCCAATCTTTCTTTCCTTCCTTCCTTCCTTCCTTCCTTCCTTCCTTCCTTCCTTCCTCTCTCTTTCAATTTTCCTTCCTCCAATCTCTNGGCTCAAGGTTGACTCAGCCTTCCCTCCTTCCGAGGTGGGTCAAATGAGGACCCAGATTGTTGGGGGCAAGAGGCTGACTCTGTAAACCGCTTAGAGAGGGCTGTAAAAGCACCGTAAAGCAGTATATGTCTAAGTGCTATTCTTTCTTTCTTTCCTTCCTTCCTTCCTTCCTTCCTTCCTTCCTTCCTTCCTTCCTTCCTTCCTTCCTTCCTTCCTTCTGTCCGTCAGTCAGTCAGTCAGTCAGTCAGCAGTCAGTCATTCCCTTCCTCATTCTCCTTCTTGGCGGTGCAGTGGATAGAATGCAACATTGCAGGTGAAAACTCTGCCCACTGCCAGGAGTTCGATCCTGACCGGCTCAAGGTTGACTCAGCCTTCCCTCCTTCCGAGGTGGGTCAAATGAGGGCCCAGAATTGTTGCGGGGGAGGGAGACAAGAAGCCGACTCTGTGAGCCGCTCGGAGAGGGCTGTAAAAGCGCCGTGAAGCGGTAGATCAGTCGAAGGGCCGCTGCTTATCTCCGCCTCCCGGGGCTTCCCTTGCAGCATGAGCGGTGTTTCGCCGGCGACACCCGGGTGGAAGTCAACAAGTCTTCCGGAAACGATTACCGTTTGGTGCGCCAGTACCGCACCCGGCACCACCTCGTGCGCTTCTACTTCATCACCCGCGCTTATTCGTCCTACGTGGACAGCATTTTGAGCGACTTCCGGGCGGCTGTAGAGGTGGACCTGGTGCCCGATGTCGTCCTTGTCCATTCCTGCCTCTGGGACCTCAACAGGTAAATCGGACTGGCCGGTTCAGCCCGGCCGTGCGTCCTCGGCGTACCTCTGAGGCCAAAGGAGAATATTGGTGACTTGGGGGGTTGAGAGGAGAGAAGTAAGGGGCGGGGGTGAAATGCACATATAGTGGATGTGTACCAGTGGTGGGTTTCAAAATTTTTTCCAAACCTACTCTGTGGGTGTGGCCTCCTTTGTGGGAGTGGCTTGCTGGCCATGTGACCTGGTGGGAGTGGCTTGCCAGCCATGTGTTCTCTCTCTNGCTGCATGTAATGGATGAGAATTTTTTTTTTATGTTGTTTTTTTAACGTTTAAAAATAAAAACAAATTCCAAAAAAAAAGAAAAAGAAGAAGAATTTGCACTCGGGGCCCGAATCCAACTTGCCTTCAAGGCAGCAAAGTTTTTTCAAACAAACTTGGCTCCTTTAAGAGGGGTGGACTTAAAAACACCCAGAATTCCCCAGCCAGCCTTCTGGGTGTTGAAGTCCACCCCTCTTAAAGGAGCCAAGTTTGGGGAGGGAAAACTGCCTTCAAGAATATCCAGATCTACGTATTTTTTGGCATCTTGGTTTAAGTTTGTTTCTTTCTTTCTTTTCCCCACATTGCAGACTATATATAAAGATTTGGTCTATTTTCTGCAGACGGATGAACTCCTCTGTCTCAAGGATCTGCAGGAGAAGGTACTGTCTCTAATCAAGGGGAGCATTTGTGGCTCGGGGTCCTTGGGGGGTCTCTGAGCTTGGGGGTTTTCCTTTCAGGCGTTTTCAGGACCCAACTAGGGAACATCATCAATGCTAGAAGGGAGGAGGAGGAGGAGGACTGTGGGGTCCTTGGTTCTGAGTTCCATTGTTTCCTTGCGTACGTTCAATTACCCAACTAGTTCTCATCATCAGTGCTCCAAGGAGGTGGGATGACACTGATGATGGGACCTTGTTGGGTAATGAAACGTCTGCAAGAAAACCACCAAGCTCAGAGAGCACCAAGGACCCCACAGTCGTCCTTGTCCTCCTGCACCTCCTCCTCTTCCTCCTCCTCCTCCTCACTTTCCCCCCCTCCTCCTCCTCCTCCCCCTCCTCCTCCTCTCTGCAAACTCCACTCCCTTTTAGCACTGATGATGATGTCCCCTAGTTCAGAGACACCATGGACTCTATTCTCCTCCTCCTCCTCTTCTCCACAAATGTCACTCCTTTCTAACACGGATCATGTTGCCTAGTTGGACAATGAAACATCTGCAAACATCTGCAAAAATAACAACCAAACTCAGAGAGCATCAAGGACCCCATAGTCCTCCTCCTCTTCCTCCTCCTCCTCTTTCTTCTTTCTTCTTCCTTCCTTCCTCTTCTTCTTCTCCCCTCCTCCTCCTCTCTGATAACCCCACTCTCTTCTAATCCTGTTGCTGTCACCTAGTTGGGTAGCGAAACATCCTTCCTTCCTTCCTTCCTTCCTTCCTTCCTTCCTTCCTTCCTTCCTTCCTTCCTTCCTGACACTGACTACAGCCAGGAGTTCAATCCTTACTGGCTGAAAGTTGACTCAGCCTTCCGTCCTTCCGAGGTGGGTAAAATGAGGACCCAGATTGTTGGGGGCAATATGCTGACTCTGTAAACCGCTTGGAGAGGGCTGCAAAAGCACCATAAGGCGGTATATAAGTCTAAGGGCTATTGCTACCTTCCTCCTTCCTTCCTTCCTTCCTTCCTTCCTTCCTTCCTTCCTTCCTTCCTTCTGTCCGTCCGTCCGTCAGTTAGTCATTCCCTTCCTCATTCTCCTTCCTGGCGGTGCAGTATTTAGAATGCAATATTGCAGATGAAAACTCTGCCCACTGCCAGCAGTTCGATCCTGACTGGCTCAAGGTTGACTCAGCCTTCCCTCCTTCCGAGGTGGGTCAAATGAGGACCCAGATTGTTGGGGGCAAGAGGCTGACTCTGTAAACCGCTTAGAGAGGGCTGTAAAAGCACCGTAAAGCAGTATATGTCTAAGTGCTATTCTTTCTTTCTTTCCTTCCTTCCTTCCTTCCTTCCTTCCTTCCTTCCTTCCTTCCTTCCTTCCTTCCTTCCTTCCTTCTGTCTTCCCTTTCTTCTTCCCTTCCTCTTTCAATTTTCCTTCCTCCAATCTCTCCATCCTTGATCCAATCTTCCCCCCTTCCCTCCCTCTTTCATTTTTGCTTCCTCCAATCTCTTTCTCCTCCCACCAATCTTTCCTCCCTCCCTCCCTCCCTCCCTTCCTCTCCCTTTCAATTTTCCTTCCTCCAATCTCTTTCTCCTCCCGCCAATCCTTCCTTCCTTCCTTCCTTCCTTCCTTCCTTCCTTCCTTCCTTCCTCCAATCTCTCCATCCTTGATCCAATCTTCCCCCCTTCCCTCCCTCTTTCATTTTTGCTTCCCCCAATCTCTTTCTCCTCCCTCCCTTCCCTGGAAATCTACAGCTACTCCTTGACTTACGCCCATCATTCAGCCCAACGTTTCTGTCGCTAAGCCAGACGGTTGTTCAGTGAGCCTTTGCCCCATTTTACGACCTTTCTCACCACCGTTGTTAAGTACATCGTTGCAGTTAAGTCAGTAACCCGGTTGTTAAGTGAATCCGGCTTCCCCGTTGACTGGGGTTATCGGAAGGTCACAAAAGGGGATCGCGTGACCCCCTGGGCAGTGCGACGGTCATAATAATGAGTCAACCGTCCAAATTTCCATCGCGGGGAGGCCTGCAACGGTCGTTAAGCGTGAAAAACGGTCCCAGGTCCCTTGTTTGTAACCCCGGATGGTCGCTAAACGGACGGTGGGGAGTCGAGGTCTCCCCGTAACGTCCCCCGTCTTGACTGGAGGGTGGGGGGGCTTTGGGGGTCTTCCACAGCAGTCCTGCAAGGTGTCGGCCGAGGACATGATCGAAGCCAATTTCTACAGCAGCATCCTGGCCCAGGGATTCTGGTTCGACACCCTGGACCTCCACTACCATTTCCGGTTCCTGCAGGACCTCCACGCGGTGGACGGCATGCACTGGAATGCCCGAGCCCACCGCTACCTGACCAAGCTCCTCCTCACCCACCTGGCCGACGCCTGGCAGGTGGAGCTGAAGAAGCAGCCGCTCCTGGGCAAGTGGGGGAGGAGGAGCTTGGTGAGGCTGGGAAAG